ACTGTACAGAAAGCATAGTGCCAGCATTTACGTCTGATGAGGCCCTCAGGAAGCTAACAATCGTGGCTGAAGGTGAAAAGGGAACCAGCATGTCACAAGGCAAAAACGAGAGCACGAGAGAGAGGGGGAGGTGCCACACTCTTTTAAACAATCAGATCTTGTGTGAACTCAGAATGAGAACTCACTCATTGTCTTAGGCTGTCCTTGCATTGCTATAAAGAAATACCTGAGGCCGGGAACAGTGGCTCACACCTGTAATCCTAGCACTTTGGGAGGCCACAGGGGGTGGATTGCCTGAGCTGAGGAGTTCGAGACCATCCTAGGCAACTGAATTATAAAATACCAAAATTAGCTTGGTGTGGTGGTGTGCGCCTGTAATCCCAGCTACTTGAGATGCTGAGGCACAAGAATTGCTTGAACCCAGGAGGTGGAGGTTGCCGTAAGCTGAGATTGTGCCACTGCACTCCAGCCTGGGTGACAGAGTGAGACCCTATCTGAAAAAATATAAAGAAAAAAGAAATACTTGAGACTGGGTAATATATAAAGAGAAGAGTTTTAACTGTCTCACAGTTCAGCAGGAACTACAAGAAGCATGGTGCTGGCGTCTTCTTGACTTCTAGGGAGGTCTCAGGAAACTTACAATCATGGCTGAATGCAAAGGGAGAGCAGGCATGTCACATGGCGAAAGCAGAAGCAGGAGAGGGAGAGCTGTGAGGAAGGTGCCACACATTTTAAATGACCAGATCTTGTGGGAACTCACTATTACAAAGACAACACCAAGCCATAAGGCAAATACCTCCTAGGCCCCACTTTTGACACTGAGGATTACATTTCAACATGAGATTTGGCGGGGACGATCATCCAAATGATATCAGTAAGTTTTCAGCTATTATTTTGTTAAATGGGTTTTCTATGTCTTTGCCTCTATCTTCTCCTTCTGGAACTCTCAGAATTTGAATATTTGGTCACTTTATGGTGTCCTATATGTATGTCATGCAGCCTTTTCAGTCCTTTTCTTCTTTTTTATTTCCTTTTCTTCTTTTCTTTCTTTCTTGTTTTTTTTTCTTTTTTTTTTTTTTTGGCGGGGGGGATGTCTGACTAGATTACTTCAGAAGACCTGTCTTTGAGTTCAAAAATTCTTTCTTCTGTTTGAGCTAGTCTGTTGTTTATGCTCGCAGTTGTATTTTTTTATTTCATTGATTGATTTCTTCTGTTTTAGGATTGATGTTTGTTTCTTTTCAATAATATCTATGTCTTTTTTGAATTTCTCATTCAGATCATGAATTATTTTCTGGATTTCTTTGTATTATTTATCTGTGTCCTCTTGTATCTCACTGAGTTTCTTTAATATTATTATTTGGTATTATTTTTCAGGCCTTTCCTAACTTTCCTTTGAGATCTGTTACTGAAGAATTATTGTGTTCCTTTGGATGTGTCATGCTTTCTTAGTTTTTAACGTTTGTGTCTTTACACTGATGTCTGTGCATCTGGTGTAACATTCACTTCTTCCAATTTTATAAATTGGCTTTCATGGGAAAGATTTTTTACTTATAGATTTATCTATAGTGTTGGTCAGGCAGAGTGCTTCGGCTTTGATTCTGCACATGTGCAGTAGTGTAATTTCCATGTGATTTCTTCAGTGATAATCAGCATTAGTGAAATTTGTGAGTTCCTCAGTGGCTTATACTGCAGTCGTTAGTGAAGGTTATGATGAAGCTTTTCTGGGCATGGGAATATTAGGTGGGCTGATCCTCAGGCACCAGTGGTGGCAGCAATGGGCAGAAAAGGCTGTTCTCAGGCCCCTGTTTTCAGTGTCCACAGGTGCTGGCAGTGGTGAGTGGGGTGAGCCAGTCCCTAGGCCCATGGATAATGTGTGTGGACGCTGGTGCCAGCTGCATCAGGTGGAGCAGATCGATTCCCAGGTCCCTGGAAGGTGAGTATGGTACTGGTGGCCCATATATAATATATATATGAAGGGGTGGATCCCTCATGGCTTGATGCTGTCTTTGCAATAGGGAGTTCTTATGAGGTCTGGTCATTTAAAAGAATGTGGCACCTTCCCTCCCCAACCCTCTCTTGCTTGCTCATGCTTTCACCATGTGATGTGGTGAAACACACACACATACCCTCACATGTGTGTAACATATGTATTACATATATATGCAAACATCTGTCTATATATGTTACATATTTATATATGTAGACATCTATTGCACTGGGACTGACGAGAAGGCTGTAGAACATGGTTCTGGGATGATGCGATGAAGCAGCAACCAGATGATGTCATCAGGGGCCCAGGCTCTGTCGGCTTTCCTCTGCTTATCTCCATGGGTGGCCTTTACCAGCTGGCTTTTCCTCTCATGGTGCATCAGGCAGCATGTCATTACGTAGCACACTACTTGGGGTCTCTTGTCCTCTGGCTTCTGGTTGGGTTTGACAAATAGAAGACTTTAGCAGAAGATTTAAAGAGTGAGCATGGGCCTGAGAATTCCCACAATCTGTTGTCTATAAGCTGGAAGGCCAGGAAAGCTGGCAGTGTAATTTATTCTGAGCCCCAAAACCTAAGAACCATGGAAGCAAATAGTGTAAGCCCTGGTCTGAGTTTGAAAGCCAGAGAACCAGGCACGCCTATGTCCCAGGGGCAGGAGAAGATAGATGTCCTAGCTAAGACAGAGAGTGTGAACATTTGGGAAGAGATATTTGTATTACTATCAATTTTCTACAATTTAATCTCTACTTAGATAGCCTAGTTAGGCAATCAAAGGCATACAACCCTATAGAATCAGATCATCCCTGAAGGCCCTACTAGACAAGGCCAGCGTTTCATGGAAGACACTGCTAGTGATTACTTTTCTTCATTTTCAAATCTTTGACAAGTTTTTCTCCCTAAGAAGCTAGGATGCTTTTGGAAGAGTTAACATGTATGTGTGTATGTGTGTGTGTTGGGGTGGGGGTGGGTATTTATGTATCACCAATTAGAACAGATTATGAAAGCCTTCTCTGGCATGCTAAAAAATCTGGGCTTTACTCTTGTGAAATAATGAGGTTCTGAAACAGGGAAGTGACATGATCACTATATATATTAAAGTGATCACTCTAGTATCAGTGGAGGATAGTTTGAGAAGAAAGAGATGGAGGTTGGGAGTCCAGTTAAAAGGTTGGTATAACGGTTCTGAAAAAGAATAACCAGATAATTCAGTAAGGGGATAAGATGAAGAGTTTAAGGGGTAAAACCAAGGTATTGGTTTAAACAAAAAGTTTAAAACCAAGGTAAAAACAACCACACTTGGCAAAGCATTAGGTTTAGGAGTCCAGGCATAGGATGTATCAAAACTACTTAAGATTTCTAGCTTGTAGCCAATGTTGGAGTCTGGGAATACAGGAGGATCTGTAAGTTCCAGAAAAATAAATTTGGTTTTAGACATACTGCATAAGAGAAGACCTAGAAACTTTCAGTAGCAACATCTAACAGATAGTTGAAAATATGGGTGGGAGTTAAGGAGAATGGTAGATGCTGAGAATTAGGTGTTAAAGCCACATGAATAGATGCATTACCTAGTGAGTAAGAAGAGAAGACAGTGGAAAGTGAGTACTGGCAAAAAGGAAAAGGAGCTCTTGAAGGAAGTCAGAAAACAGTGTTCACCGAAGGAGGAGCATAATGGAATAGTTCTTTCCTCTGACCCTTCATTCTACAACTTGGGAAATTTATTACTGCAAAGGTTTGTAGGTCTAGTCCAGTGAGACAGAATTCATGCTTAACAAGTTAGTCAAAGCAGATTTGTTACTGACAGATAAACAGGAAAAAAAAAAAAAAAAAAGGAAACCAAGAATTTGGTCCAGCAAGGCTCAATACAACTTTCCAGGGCAGGTGGAGCCTTGTCTGCCCGTGTTCCATGTCACTCTGCAGCTGGGAGACCCTGCAATCGCTCTGCCATGGGTTTTATACCCTGAGCATTTCTGGGCTCACCGAACACAAGGATTTCAAAACATCCTGTTCTAGTAGGAACAAGGGCAAAGTTTGGGTTGTTCTGGACAGTTCCACTTCATCCCAGGACACTGCATTCTGTAAGTAACAAGGGAGAAAGCTAGGTTGGCCAACACTGTCTGGGTACCTGTCCTCCTAGATTAGCATGCACTATTTTTTTGAGAACTATTTGTTGCTATCTCTCTCTTAACCAACTGCATTTCCACTGTATAACTCCTCTAGCATGGAGCCTTGAACACACCTGCCATTCAATGCATGTTGAGTAAATTAATGAAAAGAACTATGAAACAAAAAGGACATTAGAGAGAATTGCTAAGCCACGTAGGATAAACTGAGAAAATGGTCCACTAGAAATGTCTAAAGAGAAACATCAGACCCAGCTGGAAAACTGTGGGATTGGGGTACAGACACCCCAGGGAGGCACCAATAAAGATGGGGACAAACAACAACTAATGCAATTCTCCAGCAGGCTGTCAGAGTCTGCTGGAACGATGATGTCAGCAGGTGGCCACAAGCCAATGAATTGCCTTTTCATCACTTGTGTAGTGTCGATCCTTGCAGGGAGGCTCCCTTAGAAAGGAACTAAGGCTCCTCCTTCTGAGTCTGCCCACCTGGTGAGATCATTGATTGCCCAGAGTACTGACTCATTATCACCAATGAAGATGGAATGGTATCCAACTCACCAGGAAACTTAAGTTCTTACTTTTGATTTCACCCTTGTGAACAAGAAGATTATTAGATTCTTGGTCAATGTAACAATTTACTCACCCTCTATTTCCCTTGCCTGTTCTGTTACCGATTGACGCCCTTCTCACTTTACAGTCATTGTCTAGCACTTTAGAAAGCAGATATGAAGATAAAGAAACTTTATGTTACATCATTTTATATTCTTGGTTTCATAATTTAAAACAGCGTTTTAAAGTAGGGATTTTATATTTGTTGGTTGCCAGCTTTCTGCACTGTTGCATTGCTCAAAGGTTAACTTTTGGTACTTTTAAAAATTATTATAATTTATTTAACAATCTAGGAAGTTTACAGTCATCAGCAATTCTGGTGCAATCTGAGGTGCAGTTGCGAATCTGAGAATCTCTGTGGGGCTGTTAGTGTAGTGAACCTTGTATGTAAAATATATTCGTACTTTTTTTTTTTTTTTTTTTAAGACAAGGTCTTGCTCTGTTACCTACTCTAGAGTGCAGTGGTGTGATCATAGTTCACTGCAACCTTGAATTCCTGGGCTCAAGGGATACTTCCACCTCAGCCTCCTAAGTAGCTGGGACTACAGGTGTATGCCACTGCGCCCAGCTGATTTTTAATGTTTTTTGGAGAGACGGGGTCTCACTCTGTGGCCCAGGCTGGTCTTGAACTGGGCTCAAGCAATCCTCCCACCTAGGTCTCCCAGACTGCTGTGATTATAGGCTTGAGCCAGAGCATGCAGCTTCCATGCATACTTTTGATAGCACTTGTGAAGAGATTTCTCTAAAACCGACCTCATTGATTTCATTTTCAGCAAACTGACCTGGGTCACTCAACATAGCCTTTATTGTTATTGATGTTACTGCATATTCTCTTTTTACAATAACTTTGTGACCAACAGACGATATCAATTTGACATACATGGCATCAGGGCCTTCACGGTCACCATAGGTTTTTTTCCTTCCCTCTATGAGTTCTTATGAAATTCTACATTGCTTCACCAGGAACGTTAGTAGTCAGCCTCACAGCCACTGCAGCTGCGTCCATGTGCACTGCCACAACCGCTACTCCAGGGCTGCCCCCATACTCCCAGCTGCCTGCCGCCATGAGTTCCTGACTGGGTGCTTTATCCTTGATGTCTGCCACATTAAAGCCATGGGAGCCAGGGGTGGGCCTGACGCATTCAGGTGACATAGTCCGCCTTGGATGAGAAATAACAAATTCCCCATTTTATTCTTCTAGCAAAGGAGCAGTAATAAATTACCTTTTAAAACATTCTTTATTTAATACTCATGATCCTAAGTAGGGCGGAAAACACAATAAACATTGAAGCAGCATTTGCCAAATATGTCAAATCTCATCCCAAACATCAACAAGACCAAATATTTTAAATTCCTAGCAGATGGCGCGTTTATTTAGAGGTTCCCATCCCTTTTAACTACAGAGATCTCTTTACAATGCCAGACAATTTAATGGATTCTCAGAAGAGTATCTGAAGGTTTAATGAAAATTCTGATGATTGATAAAACTTCTGATGAAAACCTATTAGGGATTCAGTAACTCCTTTTTTTTTTTTTTTTTTTTTTTTGAGACAGGGTCTCGCTCTGTCACCCAGGCTGAAGTGCAGTGGCACGATCTCAGCTCACTGCAACCTCCACCTTCCGTGTTCATGTGATTCTCCGGCCTCAGCTTCCCAAGTAGCTGGGATTATAGGCGTGCACCACCACACCCAGCTAATTTTTGCATTTTTAGTAGAGATGGGTTTCACCATGTTGGCCAGGCTGATCTCCAACTCCTGACCTCAAGTGATCCACCTGCCCATCTCGGCCTCCCAAAGTGGTGGGATTACAGGCGTGAGCCACAACGCCCAGCCTCAATAACTCCTTTACATGAATTTACGAATTAATTAATTACAACACTGTAGATTGTTACATTGTTTGTCCACAGAAAATCAAACCTCCTGGTTCAATTTCTTGCCACATTAATTCTGGACTTGACTCTGTTAGCACTGTGACCAAGGGGACATCAGTAAACCTGACACAAGTAGTGACTTGATAAGTACTTGCGTACTGGGGTTTCCTTTGGAACCTGGCTGCCATTACGTGAGGAAGCTGATCTAGTCTCCTTGAGGATAAGCCATCAGCCCAGTCACCAGCTTCTCTGCTCACTGAATGCAGTTACATGAACGATCCCAGACAAAACCAGCAGAACCACTTAGTAGATGCAGAGAATTCTGAGAAATAAAAAATCGTTGTTTTAAACCATTAAGTTTTGGTGTGTTTTGTAACACAGTATAGATAACTGAAATATAATGGCATTTACAGAATTTGAAATATAGCAGTATATAAATGAGTAAGTGAATTACTTTTTCACTCATTCATTAATAAATATTTTTTCCAGGGCCCATTAAAAGCACATTGTCCAGTCTACCCTAAAGGCTAGCTTTGCACAGGATCTATGGATCCTCTGTAAAAATTCTGTGGCCTCAGAAAATCTGAAATCCACAAATAGAGAAGGAAGTCCCAAATTTGAATAACATTCTATATGGAGTAATTTCTTTTCTTTTCTTTCTTTTCTTTTCTTTTTTTTTTTTTTTTTGAGATGGAGTTTCCCTCTTGTTGCCCAGGCTGGAGTGCAATGGTACAATCTTGGCTCACCGCAACCTCCACCTGGGTTCAAGCGATTCTCCTGCCTCAGCTTCCCAAGCAGCTGGGATTACAGGCATGTGCCACCACGCCTGACTAATTTTGTGTTTTTAGTAGAGACAGGGTTTGTCCGTGTTGGTCAGGCTGGTCTCAAATTCCTGATCTCAGGTGATCCTCCCACCTCGGCCTCCTGAAGTGCTGGGATTACAGGTGTGAGCCACTGTGCCCGGCTTTATATGGAGTAATTTCAAAGTTTAGATGAAATCCAGAGAACTATATAACAGGAAGAGAAACCTAGTGTAAACTGTGGACTTCAGTTAATAATATATCAATATCTAGATTATAATTAATAATATATCAAATTAGTTAATAACAGAAACTAATAATTTAGCTAATAATATATCAATATTGATTTGTTTATTGTCAAAAATGTACTACAATAACGGGAGATGTTACTAGTGGAAACTGCTGAGGTGGCAGGGGAAGAGAGGGAGGGGAAGTCTATGGGGATTCTGTACTCTGTTCGAGTTGTCTGAAAAAATAAAACTGCTCTAAAATTAAAAACAACAACAACAACAAAAACTACACCCACCTTCACCCCCCACAACAGGTCTATGATGCAAGCCAACATATTACTTTGGTAGTTTGAGCACTGGTTCGTAAACACTGAATTGTGTTTTTGTACCTGCCTGAGTAAATCATTTTTGCTTTGCTCTACTATTTTCTGTACTGTGAGTTCTGGTCCAAGCAGTCTGTGTTGATGTGGACCTTTACAGTTTATAAAGTGCTCTTCATTTTGCAAGTTCTTTCATGTACATTATCTCACTAAACCTTGCAACAATCCAGGGAGATTGTTTGTTCCAGGTCCCTTGGTGCAGACATACCCATGAAGGGGCAGTGCAAATCTGTCACCACTGCTAGACAAAGGATTTTGAACACAGATCTTTCAAGTGGTTGGATGTTTTTATAAACTTGTGTTAAAGATGATGCCCTCATAATCTTCAATCTCATAAAGATGAAGAATGACACATTAATAATACAATTGAAAAGGTGATACTCATTTACACATGGAATTAATGCTTTTTCAATTAGAATTTTAGGTCAATTTCTGTTTTGTTCTCTGGAAGTTTTAATTAAGACAGAAAAACTTTAATATCTCACACCCCTCACAGGAACCATTAAAGGTTTGGATTTTTCTCTATTTTGAGGCCCCTGTTCCCCCAGGGATATTTTAGCAAGAAGAATGCGATTCAAAGATTTCCAGATGTTACTTCTTAGATGTGTCTCAGCATGCATCTATAAACCATCTGGTAGTAGCAACAGCTGGATTGGGTCCAAACATAAATGTTCATGCAGGTAAAGGGGTCCTGATAGAAAAAATTGAACTGATCAGTGGTTTTTCAACTAAGTTTGTGATACTGGTTAATTAGTTGTTGAAATGATCTCTCAGTAGCCAAGACAGGCTTTCAAAATTCTGCAGTCAGGCTTCCTGTATGTTTGAGGGGGTTATTCCTCACCTGTATTAAATTTAAAATCTGTGGCTGAATCAGAAATTATTTGTATTTAGTCTCAGAGGATATTTAAGTGGTCTACAGAATTCCTAACATTGCATTCACAAATATTCAACACCCTTGCAACTTCATACTCTTTCCAACCAGTGAAAGGAAGGGTTGTCCCCGAAATGTGCTGGGGAGCAGGGTGAACACATTTAGTAGGTCTCTGGAGTGTACACCTTGATCTTCAAGCTTCTTCTGACTCAGGAAACGGCAGTAAACATAAGTGAGTGGCAAGATTCCCACCTCCTCCCCTCGTTCCTGGAATGAAAGATTATATCCCTCAGTCATCTGAATCTGGGACCTCCAACAGGGTAAGATCATCTCATTAACTCATCTCCTGTTTTTTTGGAAGTTGTGATAATTATGCCAAGAGCTGAGCTGAGCTTTTCCTTGCTATAGATCAAATTTTAATACTGCAAATTAACAAAAATGAAGACAATTTATAGAAAGTATTAAAATTCATAACAACTTTTGCAGGAAGAATATTCAATCTGCATTTTAAAAAAGTACTTCCAAGCACCTGAAAAGTAATTGATTTCCAATTTAAAAATGGTAATAGCAGACATTTATTAAGTACTCACATGTTAGATATTTTACTAATAATTTGTAGAGTATCTAATTACCACAGTGAACCTATGGGTTCTCTTATTAATCCTAATTATATAGACAAGAAAACTGAGCCATAGGGCATTAAGATATGTGCCCAAATGAACAGATCTTATAAATGACAGTTGAAATGGGATTTTAAATGAGGTAGACTGATCCTAGATCACAGACCCTTGAACAGTCAATTATTCAATTATAATATCACACAATTTTATTGTCATTAATTCATTCATTCAACAGAAGCTTCTGAAGTACTAGAGAGTCACAGTTCAATATGGCTCAGTCCCTCCTCTTAAGAAGTTTGCAGCTGGTGGATGAGACCAGCAAATTAACAATGGAAAGACAGAACAATACATGCAACAATAGATAAATACATAATGTGTGCTGTGAAAGTACCAGTGGGGTTGGTACTTTCAATACAGTACCAACAATAAAGAAGGCTTCTGAGAGAAAAATTCACTTTGGGAGGAGTCTGTGATGGTTATGAAGAGAAGAGGTGAAGGGCTTAGTAGGAAAGTGCAGAAGCATGAGATAGCCATCTGGGAGCTTCCCTGGACTTTCCCATCTTATTTCCTGTGACTTTGAGTTTTATTCATTCTGTAATCTGGGGAAGAAATAGGAGGACTTTAAGCAGGAGGGCAGAGGGTACAGTTGGAGACAGGATCAGAATGTATTTTAGAAGAAAGTATTTGGAGGTTGGGTGTGGTGGCTCATACCTGTAATCCCAGCACTTTGGGAGGCTGAGGTAGGTGGATCACTTGATCTCAGAAGTTCGGAACCAGCCTGGACAACATGGTGAAGCCCTGACTCTACCAAAAATACAAAAATTAGTCAGGCATGGTGGTGTGTGCCTATGTTCCCAGCTATTCAGGAGGCTGAGGCGGGAGAATCACTAGAGCCTGGGAAGTTGAGGCTGCAGTGAGCTGTGATCACGCCACTGTGCTCCAGCCTGGGTGACAGAGCAAGACTCAGGCTCCAAAAAAAGAAGAAAGCATTTGGAAAGAATCAAAGGCAGGAGACTCCAGATAGTTGTTGTGAGAATCCAGGTCAGGTGTGGTGAGGGGCAGAATCAAACCAGTGGCAGTGGATGTAGGGGGGGTGGGTAAGAAAGAGGAGGAATAAGCAGGTCTTGGGACTTGCTGACTGTGGAGCAGAGGGGCT